TTCTCTACTTTAAATCCAGAGAAAAATACGGCCAAGAGAGGGTGAAGCTGACCTCAGAGGTGAACAGGTCAATCCTGTCAACACCTTCCTGAGACAAACCTTCATCCAACAGTAGCAGCCAACCCTCTCTGATCTTCCTCCTTCCGTCTTCCTGTTGTCACCCTTTTGCTCCCCCTATGGCCGCCCTCCTTTACTCCTCTTCTGATCCCTCCTTATCGCTCCTCGGCTCCCACTGGCCTCTACACCCCAATCATTCAGATATCTAGTTTATTTTTCATTCAGCCACAACTTGTCCAAGCTTTGTGCCACAACGTGAGGTAGTAGAGGCAAAACGTTTGAAGTGGAAAAAGTAAGCCGGTGGCTCAAACCAAAGAACCACTTGTCTTTACCCTGTGACCCATTATCTCTACGGGAGCAGATCCAAGTTTTCTTTGCAGCATCACTTTCCCACGGACTCGATGGGGAAAAGTTTTCCAGTGAAGTTAGGATTTCACTCATTGAGAAAAATCTCCCAAAAAAATAAACCATAAAATTTAAGCAGCAATTGTGTAAAAGGAGTAAACCCATATGGCACATTATATGCCCATCGACAAACTATTATACAGTAATCCATAGGAAAGACCATGTATATGCTTTGACCTTGATTTGTGACCTTGACTTTAGAGCTGGGGTGAAGGAAAGTATGCGTCATGCCGTCTAGTGTTGGTACAAATGCGTATCAAGTTCCATTAAACTATTTTGAGCTGATCAGAAGTTATGGGTGGGACAAACAAAGACCTTGTTTTGTAGTTGACCTTGATTTGTCACCTTGACCTTGAAACTGGGGTTGATGAGACGAGAACACAAAACCAGCGATGATTAATCAAGTTTTGATAAATTATCTTGAGCAGATCAGAAGTTGTGGTCCGGACAAGAGAAAGTTTACAAACGTACCGAGACTAAACCACGAAACGTCTGCTGCTCGACGGGCGTGGAAACAGATGTCGAGACGTCAGGTCAGTCCGGTAAAACCCAACTTTCAGTGACCTGTTTGAACTTTAAATCATGTTTTTACACTAATGCATGTCTGAGCTCCAGAAAGAGTTGAACTTCCTTGTCCGTTTCCCCAAAATCCTGATATTCTCTAATCTATACGTCTTGTTGGCGCGTCGTCTTCTGTCGGGTGCTTCAGACCCTTAAACTGCTCACACAGTAATCTGATGGAGGTCAGATTGAAATTAAAATGTGACCGACAACAAAAATATCAAGCCCTTCAGCGTGAACGAAGCTCAAGACCAAACTCTCTCAGATATTTTGACTCCATCACGGCGCCTCTTACCCTCTCTCTAACCTCAGCCCGGCTCCTTCACTCCCTCCATCTTTCTCCTGAATGTTGGCTTTCTCTTTCCTGTCAAAGTTCATGCACTTCCTGTCGCCCCCGTCCTCCTCCTCCAGACCCCACGCTCACACTGAACAGAAACACTCGACCCCTGTGGCCGTGTTGGCCACAACTCCCAAACACCCCCCCCCCCCCTCCCACACACAGAGCCCAGAATGTGCAGCTGACCCAGCCGTGGCCCAGTCAACACCTCCATCCACGTCGCTTTCACTCAGACTGAGATGAGACACGCAGCCTGGCTGGAGGAGAGCCAGGCTCGAGCCGGAGGCCTCCACCGACACCAGCAGGAGGTTTCACAACACGAACCTCCTGATGTTTACATCCACGGCCAGAAAGGAAGGATCCACGGGACGAACGCAGGATTAGTCTTTGGTTAAAGTCAGGATTTAACCAAAGAAACGGATGAAATAAAGTTGGACAGCAGCGAACGTCCTGTGAACTCGAGGTGTTTTTACTGAAAATCAGGAGGAGGTAAACCTTGTGGACAAACGACGTGGAGCAACTTTAGGTTAGCGGTCGTGTGCTATGAGGCAGGCGGGGATGAGAAGAAGAAAACAGTCGGAGGAAACGAAACTGAAGGAGGACTCACCAGCACAGTGTAGATATGAAGACAGCGATAAACCGGAGAGAAATCCACCAAGTCCTGCGCTCCCGGTACCTGCAGACAGGAAGCAGCTCTTAGAAAGGTTTGGCCGTGTCAGGAAGACCAGTCTGAGGTCCTTTCAGTCCTGAAAGTCAACATCTTTAAGCTAAACTGGCTGCAAACCACCTCGTGTTTACCTGCAGAAACAGCCGAAGTTCAGCGCAGGACTAGTCGAGTAAACTGCTCGGGGGGGGGGCCACAGTTACTGAAAGCTAAGAGCTCAGGGGCCGGACATCCAGCAGTTACTGTTTCTAGTTTTATTTAAAAGGCAGAACTGAGCTCACCTGTGGGCCTGATTTGGCCCCCGGGCCACCAGTTGACCGGTCCTGCTTTATGCTCAGACGTCTTCAGAGAGGAACGCAGCTCCAACAATTATTCATTCATTTATTTAATGTTGAATTTTGTTATCAAAGGGGGAAAAAAAGGTTGAAGTCAAGATTGTTTGTTTTAATTGTACAAACCGGATTCCAAAAAAGTTGGGACACTAAAAATGTGAATAAAAACTGAATGCAATGATGTGGAGGTGCCAACATCTAATATTTTATTCAGAATAGAACAAATCACAGATCAAAAGTTTAAACTGAGAGAATGTATAATTTTAAGGGAAAAATCTGTTGTTTCCAAATTTCATGGCATCAACAAATCCCAAATAAATTGGGACAAGTCCATTTTTCCCACTGTGTGGCATCCCCCCTTCTTCTTCCAACACTCAACAGACGTCTGGGGACAGAGGAGACCAGTTTCTCCA